TGATTCACTTATTTTATTAAGACAATTATCACCCTGAATAGAGATTGCATTCACCCTCAAAGCAACTCCCGACACCGTATAACTTTGAAGTACCCTGTACTAAGTAGAGCCTAAATCCAAATTATTGTGCAAATCCATGTTGCTCGTCGAATTTAGTGCAGTATCACGGTATTTTACCTTCATTGGCGAGACTAAGGGCTTATTTGCTAAGGAACCGGCCTATGTAAGCTTTAGAATAAATGAATTATTTACATTAGACGACAGACCCGCAGACGAGTGCGGGTGACGAGTTTTTTTTTAGGTCGGTTGTTGGTTTATTGCCATTCAGAGGCAATTGATTAGCCATTACGACAATTATATTGACAATATTATGACTACTATAACGATTATTGTAAAAGTGCTGAATAATTTCCACAGCGACAGAGAGATTCACAAATTTATACATTTCTATAAGAAAAAGGATTTCACTATAACAATAAACTGAGAAATGGTGAATTATTGGGTTAACTTTGTGATATTATCCTATTAAGAAATTTTTAATAAATACATTTATGGCGTTAAAGCCTCGTTATTGCTTTCCTTTTCTAAATTATCTTTCGATTTCCCTATGAGAGCACCACTAAAAGAATATTTGGTGTACTTTCGGAGGCCTGCTGTTCTGCCTCGCCGCCGTGGACGCTACGAACTTTAAAAGAGGTTGCATTACGTTCGCAACCTTACCGCTGGCCGCATAAACGCCATGACGGCATAAAGAAGAAAATTGCTGCTGTCATTATTGTTTTGTTTTTCGCTATAACGCTTGAAAAATATTTATCAGCCGCATTTTAAATATTTATTACCAAAACCTGAATACCAGAATAATTGTAGGTATAGTAGTAGCTGTTCATATTCAGGTGGCGTACATCAGTTCGGTAAGTACTCTCGATTTTATATCAGAGTTCTATCGGGTGTACTTTAAGGACAATCTTCTTCATAGTTTGAGTTTTCTTCTTTGATAGTTAGAGAATTTTAATCGAATGTTTTAAAATTCTCTAACTTTCAACATAAGGGTAACTTTCAATAAAGATTTGTCACGAAATTTTCTGTTGAAACTGTAACGTACTAAAGAAAATGTATTAAAACAATTAAAAGTTTCGAGTGGCAATTACCTATTCGCAATAAAACAATTATAATTGTACAAAAGCTTAGTAGCACAAAAGCTTTGGTGGAAGTTATATTAAGTTAAACTTTTGTTTACCAGACAAAAGAGTCACCTGCCGATTTCGAATGAAGTTTGAGACATCTCACTGATTTCGGTTTGTTAACGGTCGGTATTTCTAACGAAGAAATAATATAACAATTTACAAATATCGTTAATGATAATTAATTGTTTTAGCTTAACTTCATATCTATAGAAAAACTTTAGTGTACTAAACTTGTTTGCTCATATGGTATTAATTATTAAATTTATGTACACATATATCTATACTTATAATAAATCTGTAGAGAGGTCAATTCTGTACATGAAATATATTTCCAAAATAACTATCAGGGGGTGATTAGGGATCGATACTGATGCCAAAAATGCAATCAGTAAAATTTTTGTCTGTCTGTATAACCGTTATAGAAACAAAAACTACTCGACGGATTTTAACGAAACTTGGTACAATTATTTTTTATACTCCTGAGCTGGTTATAGTATATTTTTCATCACGCTACAATCAATAGAAGCAGAGCAGTGAAGGGAAATGTTGGGAAAACGGGAGAAGTTACTCCATTTTTTAAGCTTCCGCCGCGTGTGCAACTTTAATGGTTACAGCTACCCAGAAATCATGTATGACGAAAATGTTCTCCTTAAAATTATATAAAAAATATCCCACGACAGCATATGTCTATCTTTTATGGTTGACTCACAATAACACATGTAACTCCCGATAGCTTAGCAGTTCGAAGCTTTCTGATTGTATTTGTCTATTGTCTACTCTTACGTTTATAACACTCTCAGTCATCCCTAATTAAAAAAGTTAACAGTATTAACTATTCCATAAAAAAGAATCATAGAAATCAGTATAGAAATATATTAGTCGAAATTGATTTTTGAGAAACACATTTGTTTAATGACATTAGTCTTCAGGTAGCTACAAAGACGAACACATGACAAAGAAATGTCTTATAAAAAACAAGAACCTAGGGTTTGTTAATGTCAAGTTAATAATTTCATTTTGTTACTTTTTTATCATCCTGGACCCGATATATCTATACTAATATTATAAAGCTGAAGTGTTTGTTTGTTTGTTTGAACGCTCTAATCTCAGGAACTACTGGTTTGAATTGAAAAATCCTTTGTGTGTTGAATAGACCATTTATCGAGGAAGGCTTTAGGCTATATAACATCACGTTGCAAAAATTAGGAGCGAAGAAATAATGGAAAACGCGGACGAAGTCGCTGGCGGCCATTAGTATATATATGTACATATATAAACCTCGATGGTGCACTGGTTGGCGAGATTGGCCTGCGATGTGGAAATTAAGTTCTTTTTTTATTTATAACGGGTTCTTGACCTCAATCTAGCCCAAGGACACAAATGATCATTGAAATGGTGGGATGAGCATGCCCGAAGAAACCTATTCACTCTTGCTTTAAATAGGTCTGGCTTATATGCAATCAGGAATATAGACGTCATGAAGGCGGAATGAGCTTAAGCAACTCTTGAGCACACTCTCAGTAGTACATTCTATAAAAGACAGAGAGGCAGGCAACATTACGCCGATGGCCCAGGCTGTGCAGCTTAGACTCCACTCGTTTTTCATCGCCAATGAGTCTCTTGGCTCTGTGTTCCACCGAGTCTAATGCGGCAAGCTGATACTTAGCTGAGCCATCCGACAAGTGATTGTAGTGCTCCATACACGGTCGGACTTGCGCTTTGTATAAAGTCAAAAGCTGTCTCGGTATGAAGTATCGTAGACTCACGCCGAAAAGTCTCGCCGAGCCTTCTTGGCGATAAACGAATGAGAAGGCGAGAAACATATCAGATTCACTTGTCTCGGGTGTTCTTTGGGCTTCTCGGCGTGAGTTTGTACGCCTATAGGATACCCATCTTTATGGCCGCTGTTTGTTGTTTATTTGCTGTATGTTTCGTAAGGGCCGGTTGTAGGATAGGTGAGCAAAGATTTAACATATTCAGTTCTTCTGTGATTTGGAAGGCATGTTAAATCGCAGAATGCAGTCGTTAATATCCATAGATTAGCACCTGAGGAGTCTAAATAATTATGATGTCATTTGTCATTGCCACTCATTGTGTTGCCATTATTTAATGATTACACAAAAAAATACGTGTTTAATATTTTCGGCAAAAGTTTTTCGTGATCCCTATTGTGTAGGTTTATAATAATACGAGTATGTATTTATTTGAAATATTGCTTTTGAAATTTATATATCTTTCATAAAAGGTTTGGGAAAAAGTTTCTTTTTTTTAATAAAGTTTATTTAGATCTAACTTAAGTATGTGCCATTTTGTTCGATAATTTTTGCCATGTTGTATCTCATCAGTTGTTCGCAGTAGAGTTCAGAATAGACGTTTCTGCCTGACGTTAACTGCTCATAATGAATAATTCTCTTTCCATCTCACCATACACACGGCATCACCTTGTTGCGGGTTCTTCTCATACGTGATTCACTTTTCATCACCAGTTATCAGTTTCTCCAAAAATAGTTCGGTTTCATTACGTCGTAATAAAGAATCACAAATGAGTACACGGTTCTTTTGGTTTCTTTCAGAGAGCTAGTACCCAAATGTTCAACTTTTTTGTGTATCCAACTTTTTTTAAATGCGCCAAAAATGTTTTGTGGCCAATCTCTAGTTTTTCAGCTATGCTGTAACTACTGATATGCCGATCTTGCTCCACTATTTCAAAAATGGCATCCATTTTATCCGTAACAGGGACGTGCTAACGGAAAACGCTTAAACCAAATTTGTGCTAATCTCACAGTTACTGCACTAGGGTCATAAACACACATTTCTTTACGCTACTTGCGTTGCATTTTTACCTTTTTTTGTAATAATTTTAAAATGTAACCAACCGGGTAGCCAGAAAGGTTTTATTACAATTTTATTTATACCATAAGCGAAGAGACTTTTCCCCGACCTAACATTAATGAATTAGATTGTACATGCGACTTCTTTCGCGCAGAAAGTAGCCTAAGTTATTCGTTATAAGATTATCTATCTGCCGGTGAAAATCACGCCAAAATCAGTTCAACCGTTTGAGATTAGCCGGAACAAATAGACAGAAAATATTTAAAAAAAAAAATTATGTACTGTAATTATATACTATGAATAAACTAAAAAGCGGTTATTTTAATATTACAAACACTCCAGTTTTATTTATTTGTATATATAGATCTCTCAATATATTATATCTCTGATTATCTTATAATATATATTATTCACTGTAATAAAGGTCTACTTAAAGCTTTCAGTGTTGTTTACTAATTAACAGCCTTGTTGGACGGAAACATTGAATAAGAGGTAATGAATTGCCGGTTGTTAATTAAATAATTGATGGTGCTTTTACACTGAGAGGATTCGTGTTTGTTTATTAAAGTTTTCACTTGCATTGCAGTCTTAATGTAAGAGTAACTTATTAAATAACTTATGAAATTTAAATTAAAAGCATTTTGCATTATTTACTAGAAATATTCTACTATCTCTATGAAACATTCAAACCACGAACTATCATTTCCGACAAACGTCAAAAAAGTATGCATTCACACCATAGATAGGTACTCGCATAGACTAACAAGTGACATGTGTACAATTGCACTATTTTTTTAAAATAAAGCGTCATCTATTTTTCGTCGGAAGTACTTAAGCAAATCTACTGTGTACAGTTAAATGTGTGTACAAACGTTATAGAAAATAGTTTTTATATCAACGTGGTAACAACTTTTTTTTTAAAACCTGTAACACAAAAAGCTTTCTTACTATAAATAGTAGGTATAAATATTACTGAAAACTTACTTGTGTTGACAACATCAGTGCTCGGGTATAGTCGAAAGCGTGGGCGAACCAGGAGTCGTCGCTGGGTCCGCACAATACCAGCAGATTAGTGATGCCCAGCAGTGGGATTAGTACTAACAGTGCTTTGGTCGCTTTCCTGTACTGTTCCGTTTCTAAAGTGTTCGCGGATCGCAGCTTCGTTATTAACACCTGACATGCAAAATAACAAAAATAAAACACCGGAATCTCTTCGAAAATATAAATTAATACTACATAAAGGCGGTCAACCAATTCCATAAACTTCCTATTGAATTCAGACGAAATTAACTGATTTGAACTACCCGAATGCCATATATTATTTAAATTTGTTCACTATCGTTGTAATTGTTAAGAGATATGATTTAGTGTTGGTTTTGGTTTTTGAAAAAAAAAACAATAACCTATGTTTTTTTGCAAATATATTTGTTAATATTTTTGTTAAATTTCATTATTGTTAAAATTCATTATGTGCATGCAAACTATGCATAACAATTTTTTTATAAATTTATATAAACCTAAAAATGACACAAAATATATTATGTTATGACTACGATATGAACTGAAGCAACGAAAATATAAATGTTCAAGAAGGTTTCAAAAAGCAACAAGTCGATTCGTTTGAATTGCAAAAGAATTTTTAATTACATCCCTGGTTCAAATCAAATGAAACTCATCCTGACTTTGAAGAAAAAATATTATCATTAAAACTTTTCCTGGCAATAACTTCGTGACAATTGTAAAAAATCTGATTTTGCAAACTTCATCCGCACGGTCGGGGCGCGCAGATGTCAAATTAAATAAGAAAACAACCTACATCTTATGCATGATTTCTTTTCTCCTAGTTATAAGAAGAAATATGTTTTCGTTCCTTGCGCATTTTATTTTTAAAAGTTATGTACTTTATTCAATAGTTTTATTTCCAAGTTGAAGTTCTTTTTGATTTATATTAAGTTGTTTAAAGAAAATTGTTATTGTATAAATATTTATTATGATAAATATCTAATTGCAATTAAAATATTTATTACTAATTATAATCGTAATAATATGTAATGTCATTATGTCTTATGCAATTTCCTCACCCACATAATCCTGATAAGGAAGAATAGATTAAGGGCTAGGCCCGCTAGCGCTGGCGCCTTGTGGATCCAGTCTACTTGGTGTTCGTGAATCCATAAGCACATCTTGGTATCACCAGCGATAGTTAACTGTAAATAAAAATATTGTATGTAATGTAACCTTACGCTCATTTATATATCTCAATAAGGCCTGTATGCAGTGTGCGGGTGATTTCTTTGACACATTTTCATTGGTCAGTTATTCTTTTATTGATCAATGAAATGAACTCACAAATATCGCCTGCGGTCAACATGCGAGAGTAGTCGACTAATTAAAATGAACAAGGTTGACTACCCACCACTACAATGTTAAACGTTTGACACCTTTTTATACTCGTTCCCGACGTGTTCTACACAGTTTAGAAACTTTTATTTTTTTCTTGGATAACATAGCTACATATTTTGATGTGACACACATCGATTAATTTATAAGAGTAGGAACGACATTACGTATGGCTACTGGTTTCTGGAAATAAAACGCTTAAAAAGGAATGAAGCTCGCGGCAATCCATGAGTATAGTGCATCTATTGTAAAAGACAGCAATTATTTGAATAATAGAATCAAATCTATTTGACTTCCAAGCTGCACAAACTTCATTAATAAATTCATTAGTTTAAACGACATTATCGATGAAATATTCAAATAACAAAATACCTATATTCAAGCTCAATATCGACATTAAATATTAATAAACTTTTGTGCAACTGGATGTAAGGAAAGTAATGAAAAATAAATATGTAAAATTATAATCATTCAGACGGGATACCGCGGTCTTCTCTCTTTTTAATCGAGTAACGTTGTGAGGCCTAGTTTATATTTAAAAATTAAGTTTTATCTAAATTCATAGAAATTAATATTTATGTCTACAATCAATATTCTGAAACGGAGCAGAAATGTGAGGTGCGGGTGTCTGGCTACACAACGTCGCTCTCCGCATAGCATCACATTGCATTGCATTACACCGAACAATCTATACATTGCTTTTGCAATATTTCCCCCAGGAGCAAGTACACCTAGTAGTTCGATATCCAAAAAAGGTTTTTGGTCATACGTATAGATAAATATTATTTAACACTTTTATTTCTGATAATGCCCACGAAAACGTACCTAAATATTATAAAGTTAAATACTCCATACATAGTCTTTGTTTAAATTTAAGCCATTTCGGTTTGCAATAGTAGCGATATATAAAATATGTGTAAATAATGATGGACTAACCATTGAACCTGCTAAAATAAAAGTTTTTTTTTAGAAAATGCGATACGGCTTTCTGATCCACTGCTCATTTTGGAGTCGGAGTGGACAAGAGCAGTAGAAAAACAAAGGAATTTTATTGATCAGTTCAAATATCACTTTGCTGTAATTATGCACTCTTGTTGAATTTTACAAAGACAAGGAAATCTACCTCAAAACCAACTTTCCACAATATTAAATTTACAGAACGTGAAATATGCCAATATACGTTCATTCTCAGTACTTTTACTGATTTTTTATTTCATTATTATGAGATTATATGTGTGGATGTAAAAAGTTGAAAAGCTTATTGAGGTTATCATTATATCTGCATTCATAGTGCAAGTGACTGATCTAGTAAAATATTCATCGTCTTTCAAATATTACATCGTCGTGTCTGGTTGTGAAAGAAGTGCTATTCAGAAACTAGTGCAAGCAGATTATTTGAACCCTGTTTCTAGGCAGTTTTATGTTGATTGTCTTGGGACAATAATAGCAGTGGTTTCTCCTTGCTTTCTGCATCAGCATTTTCTGTAATTATTTAAACCCCAAGGTCGCTAAATCCTCTTGCAGCCAGTTGCCTAGCCAAGCTATCGGCAAGAGTGTTATGACTTAGAAGAAGTTGTCGGGCACAATTTTTTACGTATTATTTATACAAATTGACACGACAACTGAGGACTTATGCTACTTATCCTTGAATGAAAATCCGGAAAATTTTGAATTATTCTTTTAATTTGGTTAAAATCATGTCCATGAAGATTATCTGTGCATCAGAGGTAGTGACAGGTCCTATTTCATTTGTATCATATATTATCGAAGAATTCGTTTCTGCGGAGTTGTATTAGCATTTCGAAAATAGACAAAATTTAATTTTCGCAGAAACAAAGTGTAGGCTATTTGATGTAAGCAGATCAACCGCTCTAAATGCGACCCTGATGCCAATTCCAATACACAAAGGACCGACTATGGAGAGGGGTTTTTAATTTATAATATCACACCAAGTCATCACATCAAGTTCAGGTTCAGGAAGATTTAATTTATTAATAATTCCACACTCACCCCATCAGGATCCGTAGAAGGAACGATGGTCACGAAACACCTTGAAATCACCCAAACAGTGATGAATATAGCTGGAGCTCCTGTACAAACAATATGAATAGAGTAGTTTCGGTAGGGAAAAATAAGTCATGAAATTGCTCAAAAAATAAAATTAACATTGTTATAAACATAGAGATTCTGATTCTTAAAATCACACGATTACTTTAAAAAAAAATTTTTTATGTGTGTACACGTGACTAGAATCACGTCCTGTTATTTTGTGACGTTAACTGTGGTTAACTGTGTGGTGTGGTGTGTTGATATCTTCGACGGAAAAGCGAGCCGATGAAGATATCAAGTACAGAGGCTATTTGTCTCTTACTAATAAGGCGACAATAATATTTTAATTAAGTGAGACTTTTATCGTACACAATAATCTTGTTAAACTTTTGTTACATTAAATATATTTTTATTATTTATTTTAGAGGTTGATAGGATGGGTGGTCATTTTTTTTGGTGCAATTTAGGACAACCACGTTGTCCCAATACGAATTACTGGGTAGATTGATTTGATCCATTAAGAATTCCTGTGCTTTAGCATCACCAATCAACTCTGGGATCTCCACATAGGCCCAGTAAGGAATGCTGGGTGGATTAGTTTCATCCGCATATAATATGATAAGACTATGTCAACCGTGTAAGATGTAGCTTTCAGTAGATGAAAGAATTTGCAAGATCGGTTCAGTTCAAGAGAGGCAGATTTTTAACTTTGTTTATTTATAGTATGTAAACTTTGGAAATAATGATCCGATTATTAAAATTCATTCACCTACGAGAAGCTACATTATACGTAGGTGACATAGGCTATAGTTTAGGCGGGTTATGTCGCTAGTGATATAAGTCTAAGTATTGATTAATAAAAGATCCTTATCCAGATGGTACAGTTGATTGTTGATATTTTGACTTCCATGGGCGCGTAGCTCGCTCATCAACTTTATGCTCGTTTCATTTGTTTTGATAACGACTCTAATTCGACATAATATCCAGGATTTGATGATGGAAATAGAATATGGCCCTAGGAATTTTGTTAATATAACGCAAGCCTATTTGTTTTAATTTCTCAATACAAAATCTCTTGTAATAAAGAAAAAGAAATGAAATCTTCATTATGATAGCAATATGTCAACTCAGAATTTATCTTAGGTTTTATGTAGAAATAATTTTGCATTTTGGCTATAAACAAAAAAATGTAAGAATTCACGAAAAAAACTGAACTAACTAGTATACGAATTAACTAAAAAGAAATAATAATTTTACCGTATTACTGTGATAATGAGCTTTTAACAAGCAAAAATAAAATTATGGAACGAGAAATTGCTCTCTTATAATGAAAAGCACGATTTCCTCGAAAACTAATTAGTTTAACATTTAAGCTTGTCGATATTATAGGGAAAGTTGATCAGACAGAATGAAGATTTTCATTTTCTTCTGTATCAATCTTTAATGATTTAATTAATAAGAACATTAGAGTGTTTTATTAGCCAAATTTCATATTCGATGACGCAGAATCCCAGTTTCTGCTATGTTACCTTAACAATGGCGTCTTATCTAATGGCGTTTCAGTAATGTTTATCTAGGGTCTAATGAGTACAATAGAACCTTATACATTAGCTATGGCAATTATATCTTTTAAGATCAACTGAAGAAATGTGTCAATAAAAAATGTTAATGATACACTATGGCATGCCATAATCACATTAAAATTGAGTCCACTGTCCTAAAATGTCCCCTACATTTGTAGCGCGTCATGTTGGACAACATTTTACTCATTATGTTGGGTGTCGATGCAGATTTTTCTTAAGCAATATAATATTTTCACAATAAAGTCATTAACAACATGTCGATAGACGAGAGACGTCCCTTTGGATTCTGTTAACATTGCTAGGCGTACGTTTACGCTAGTCTATTTTTGTAGCGAGTTGTCATGTTACGTTGCCGTTGTCGAATATGTCAAGCGTCACGTTTCATGTATCATTTGATCACATATTACATGTCAAATGTCGCCGAGTGGATACGTGACTTTAGGTTAGCAGAATTGAGGCGCAGGTTTGATATAATTATGATTAAATATGGATACTAATACTAATTACTTAAGTCTTCATTATAAAACGGGCTGTATCTGTACTCACCCCAGCCAATAGTAGTGTAGACCTTCAGTTTGATGTTTTCAGCTGTGAATGTTTCCACCACTAACATATACAAGTACAGACCTGCGTTGTAAAAAAACAATGGTTATTAGAGTATTAATAGAAGTATTAAAAACATCGTATTGTGTACTTTATGGTTAGATTACAATTAAATAACTCTTTTACCCAAAAATATTACTGATTGGGAGGAAATTTTTTGGATATTTCAATAATTATTTAAAATACTATTTAGAATGTAGAATACTTTAATTTTCATTATATTGTTCAATTTCGCATTGACAATGATATACTGAAAAATATTCTTAATGGAAAATTGCATAAGGTCATGGGTTCGAATCCCATTTCAGGGTGCCAGGGCCAGAGTGGATTTAAGCATTTTTTATTAAGAATATTTTAATTTTAATTTAAAAAATAATAAATTTACATATATTTATTTATCACGCGTTGACAGGCTCTTTCTTTTTTTCATTCTTCATTCTTTTTTCTTGAGACTGCTACTAGATGCCCAAATCTTGTATCAATATTTTTAAATATATTTTATAAGTAACAAAATATGATAGATATACTAGTAAAAAAGTTAGAATATAGTTTGTAAAATAAATCCTGATGAGAATCTTACATTATCAATACAAGTATCAGTTTATAAATTGAGAAATGTATAATATATTAACTGGATATTCTCAATAATTTTAGATTTTACGTTTTACAAATCATAAAATCCTGGGTTTATAAAAATTGCTATCAACTGTCATTAAAAAACTAAAATCAGAAACGAAAACCTGTACAGTTTGAGACGTTCTTAACTTTAAATTCTTAATTTAGAAACCGGATATTAAAAGAGTCTATCCATATTAAAATAACCACGTTGTATATAAATGTTATTTAAAAAAAAAAACATTTGGCGAATTTTACAGGGAAATTATTTATGTGAAATGAATAAGAATTGCCTTAGCGGTACTTCAGTGAAGAATTCTTTGGTTCAACGAAGTCAATGGCGCGTGTTTCTTAAACATTTTATGTTGGAGTACTTTAAAACTCAATTAGTATGCATGGACTTTAATTACAGCAAAGCTCGGTTTGATTAACTCAACAGAAAAGGTTATCTCAAGAAGGATTGTTTTCTTTGTCAGAAATCAACTTGATATTTTACTTTATAGATAAAACAATGAATCATTTTACGCAAAGTTTACTTTGTAAGTTTATCTCATTTGAGTTCGTTGAGTCAGTTGCTAAGGCGTTTAGTTTGCGATGCGGAAGTTAAGTAATTTAGTGAGGCGTGGTCATCGGATGGGTGACCAAAAATTTAATATGTCAAGCTCTTCCGTGCTTCGGAAGGCACGTTGAATCGCTGGTCCTGTCTGCATTGCAGATATCGTTAACACCTACCAACCTCACCTCAACCAGGTTCTCATAGTTATGGCCCATTCTTCCTATTCGATTTCACCCATACAGAAGGCCTGTGCCGCAGGTGTGAGGGCAGTGATTACTTTGTATAAAAAGACTTATAACACGAAGACGTAATGGTACATATTTAATATGATTCATTAAAAAAATATATATATATTTCCATTTTTATGTTGTAATAACTGTTTTCCCGTGACTTCGCACGCGTAATTAAATACGCCTATGTCGCCGTACACCGTGTGATGTATCTACCTATAGTCCAGTAGTTTCGTAGCCTTATTCGATGCAAATAAACAAACAGTCAATCAAATCTTTCCTCTTTATAATTTAAGTATAGCTGGAAAATAATTAACTACGTATTTGTGTGTTATTTTATAATTCTTATTGTTTTACCTAAGTTATTCCCTCTGAAACTGAATTTGGGTTACTAAGAAATATTTCGCTTTGTTCGAAATTTGAATGTTGGTTATTTTGTGTATGTGTATGTATTTATGTAAGTAGTTTGGAATATTAGCAAACTGATAAAAGTTTGTCAAAGGATTTTAATTGTTCTAGGAAAGTTTAATGTACTATACATCACGTCATTATATTACAAAAGACTTGGCAGTTGATTGTATGCCTTAATATGTTGATAGTTAACTTAAAAAGGATTGCCGAATATTGACTTTTGTGAGAACCTAATCTGCTACTGTATTTATAGTCAACGCATTTTAGATCTATCGCCGAACTGAAGCCCCGATTGATCAGTCAGAATGAAGCGTTCTGTCATCTGTCGTGTTGACAGATCACCTGTCAGCAGACCAAACAGAGTTGGTCTGAATAATCACTATTTATTTAACCACTTGGAATTGGTCTAACAAATTGTAATTGGTGTCACCAATCAAAAGAGGTCTCATTAATTAGAATTGGTCTAACCAATCAGAGATCTTACATGGTATAGGTCATCTACAACTGATCAAAATGTTCAATAGATTTATTACCCTTTATCGTAAGCTTATCAACTGCAGGGGTACAGTCCTTCCATATGAATGAAATCGAATAGGGAGAACGAGCTATCCATTACTCAGGCCCAGAAAGGGTTTGTGGGTGTTAACGACTGTAAATGCAACTATAACCAATGGCTTTAAGTGCCTTCTAATAATTTTAAGAATAAGTCATTTTGATTTGTTGAAATTAAAGTGCTTAAATAATAATTAACGTGCTGTTTGGTGTTAGCAGTTAATGCTTTACGATTTTGACCAGAATGGACAAATTTCCTATCGAGAGAATGTAGAAAGTTAAGTTTTCTGAATTTGAATATTTTGTTTCAAATTTCTATATTACAAGGGCTTTAGGTGCTACATTTGGAACTTGAGCATTGCTTGTGCATCTTCGCTAATAGTGTACGTATTTCCATTAATATTTATATAATTTTCGATAAGAAGTGCATCCGATTACCTTCTTGTTAAAATTTAATCTCTTCTTTCAATATTAGCATAAAACTATCCATTTAGCGCCATTCATTTATTAGTTTATGATCCCCACTTTTAACAGAATGGCGCTGCAAAACACAGACACAGAGAGACACCAATATTTTAATGACTTCTGTTCTATGTAGTTGTAATAATTAAGAGAAGGTGTATTATAAACCTCCTTCACCATACATAAGGAAGCCCCAGCAGTGGGGACGTAAAAGGGCTGATGATGATGATGATATTATTAAACTTACCTTCTACAAGCATCCAAAAGAAATTTGTCAGGTAAAAATAATGCATACATATGACTAATACCAAACACGACGTCTGGTCTTGCTGAGCTTCATCCGACCAATTCTGAAACAATATATATTCAAATAAATTTCACTGATTCAGATTTATTGAAAATTTTGTGATATACGCTAAATCCCAATTTGCACTTCAATAAGTACAGTGGCGAGTTAACTTGCCTCTCTGTCGTGGTGTTCTTATGCAGTTTGAACGGTAAAAAAAAAATACTAAAAAGTTGGGGGCTGATTGTCAAATTTCAAAAACAATCGAAATCCCTTTCAAATATCTAGCAATTTATGGAATTACGCAACGTTTAAATACGCAATTGCTTTTGAAACAAGTGATGATTTGAATGTGTAAGAAACATAATAAAAACTTAACTAAACCCATGGAGTATACTAAACCCATTGAAGGATTGCAGTTAGCATCGTTTGACATTTATCAATAGCTTTCAAAGATATGTGCGTATAACGTTGCGTTGCACAATTCAATTAACGATAAATTAACGATATTATTAATTCAATATTTTTCAAATAGACTTCTTATTGATATCTTTCAAAGGTCAAATTGAAAAAGATTGCGATTCAAAATTAGACTATTAGGTCCCTTTCCACGTTTGAAGTATATTATGATTGGTGACAAGTTCAGTTGTAATTTATTCGATAATAAGAAATTCTAAAAATAAAAGTAATTTAATTTTTTATAATAATCTAAATGGAGTTGTAAAACCTGTTTTTCATTCAGCTGAAGTCTTATAAAACTAATTAAAATTATTTGTGAACATAAACCCGTCCTAAGTTTATTATATAAATGAATTTTAGATGAAATTTTAACATCCTTGAAGAGTTCCGCGTTTATATACTCGTAAATTAAGCAAATATAATAGACGTCTACAGCATTGCCGTAGGAAATTGTATATAGAAGGTATTTTGTCTTTTATTTGTGTAAGACCTATCTACTGAATTGAAAGCATTTTTAATACCAACTTTCAAGACAAGATCTTTTGGTTGAATATCTAAAATTGTTCTAAGAGAATGTATTGTCGTTTCACTCCCACGTTTTATTCTAAACCCGAATTGTAAAGGTTCAAAGTAATTGCTAAGCGTACTACGAATTGCTCTACAACATATCCTAGAAGTAGGACGACGAAAAGTAGAACCTAGCGCTATTGGTGGGATACAGCCGACTGTTTTGCGGTTAATATCCAGTTTTTTTTTTATTTTTGTTTTTTTTTTTAATTTTTTGTATCATAAAATGGAAACTTAAATACAATATTCTTTGCACCCATTAACTTAGTTAGGTTTGTTGTGGTTTGTTTGTAGTTCTACAGCTACATCGTAACTGCTGATATGCTGATCCTGCTCCACTTTTTCGAAAGCTTTAGTCAAATTTTTCAACTCTCACAGAAACTGCTCTAGGTCCATAAACTTACATTTTTGTTGCTTTTTTTCTTTTTTGTAATAAAATGTCTCGAATTTCTTCGTTAGATTCACAATCTTATTTTGACAGTACAGACAGTACCGAAATTATCCAGACACAAATGGTATAGCCAGAAAGATTTTATTACAAGTTTATGTAAACTATAGGCGAAAACACTTTCCCCAATCTAATATTTTAAATTATTATTGTACATATGTGGCCCATAAATGTATTTTCTTTCTTAAGCTTAAAACGATAAATAATAATAAAAGATTTGCCAGTTTTGTAATCTGATCCAGTTTTATGATTTTATGATCTGCCAGTTACAAAATCTACCTTTGGAGTAAAGATATCCGATACTCTAACATCACTGGCAGGTTTTTACTAAGAAACATCTTTGTATAAAGAAATAATTGCCAATTTAGGGAACATTGAGATGACACATTCTTTGCTGAAAATTCAAAGGTGACAAATCCATTTGAACATGTTGCAGTTATTTATTAATGTGCAGGTTTTCTTAATTATTATATTTCTAAATTGTCCACTATTCTAACGCTTTCATATCGCTCATAGAAAATATTATGTAAAATACTTTTTAGAAATTTTATATTTTAGTAATATACATACAAATGTTAATACATAAAAAAGTTTCATATTTACGATATCGTATTATGTAAAGTTGACATTTTGAATGATAATTAAAAATTAAAATATTTTTATGTAGTTTTGCTAACGTGTGGGTTGTGGTATACTACTCGCACGAATTAACATGAAAGCCTATTTCGTCTTAAATAAAATATTACGGAAACGAATTTTTCTATAATTTATGATGCAGCGGAGATAGAACACTGCTTCTGATGCACAAATATTATTCAAAGATGTTACCAGAATTACAAGAGCGATTTTAAATTTTTGTTCGAAGTTAAATAGAATAAGCCCTTGGGTGTTATGTTAATTCTACGATACCTACCTAACCTACGTATCGTTCACTCTCACTAAGTTTTTCGTTCCAAAAACAAAGACATTTTTCTTTATGCCTAACGTTTTGCAAGTGATAGTGAGATAAAATATTCGAAAAGTTTTTCTTTCGATTGCGTCTGATCTCTGCTGTAAGACATTGACTTACGAGTACTTTTTGGTACAAAAAAAGGAGGAAACAAATCTTTATTTGATATATAATAAGTTTCCTCACCCGACCTTGTATTTGATAGATAACAAAACAGTGTGTAAATCAGGTATTAAATAAAAAAGTAACTAATAAAAAAGTAGTTGAAAAAAGAGTTTCATTTTTCCTCCAATCTTCATTTGTAAACGTCTTGACGTTATATTATGTAATTTTGATTAAATATAATGCATTTTAAATGAGATTATTTTTCAACTATTTATTTTTGGATCAGAATGTGTGTTGTGTGCAAATGCACGTACAAAATTGACATCCTCCGTTTTTACTAATATATATCAAAACTATCTTATTAACGTATCCACTGCTGGGGCCTCGGGTTGGAATTGAGTCGAATTGAATAGTGAGAATAGGCCTCATGGCTCTTCATGGTTGGGTCATCCAAACACGCTGGCCCAGTACGGGTTGATAGATATTAACGAATGCAGACGCAACCGTGACCAATGGCTTAAAGTGCCTTCCGAAGCACGGAGGATATTGAGAATTTTTTTGTCATCCATCCTATGAATCGTCCTTGCTAAAGTTGCTTAAATTTCACATTGCAGACTGAAAGCGCTACTACGGCACGATTGAGGACATATATTATTATTTGCGTATATTTAATAGAAAAGAGTTTAGACCACATTAACTAGACACTCAATATTATGGCGATAAATTTTAAATGCTTACCTGTAACGCTAAATTTAAAACCCAACTACATGCTGATAGTATGTATGTTGACATTAGATTTGTGTGTATTGTATTCCTTAGACATCTGAGATCCCTGAAACAAAAATAAAACTATTTATCATACACAGCCAAATCTGCTTCATTGGGAAATATTTTAGCACTCAGGGTAGGTGCGGTTTCTGTATATTTTGTGAGGCCTTGTAAGGGTCAATTCACCGGCGATTATTTGATAGTTGCCGGAGCTAATCTGAGGATACGGCTCATACAAGTTCTCCCCTCGTGCCTCGGATCGTATGTATGCACGATAGTTGCTTAAGGGGATTGCATTGCTCCAGTCAGTGTAGTAAAAGACGTTTATTGTAGAACCCTTTTAAGTAAGAATTATATGTTAAGCCAGAGGTTACAAAGGGTATTTTGAATAGTTCAAAAGCATAATCGCTTTCATTCAGTCATGTTAAAAAATCTAAAAGTGGTCATTAAGCATGTAACTCTCCCTCGACGCCTTGGTTGGTTGGAAGAGATCTTTTGTAGTGGTAAACCCACCCTAGTTATAGATAAACATACCTGTTGCCATCACCCCTATTGCCCAGGAAGACTATTTGAAACTAAACTACGTTTATCATTATTCTTAATACAAAATGCTTAAAAAATCCACTTGGTCCCTGGCACCCTGAGATGGGAATCGAAACCACGACCTTTCGCAATCCTGGCGACTGCTCTAACCGCTGTGCTACCCAGGACCTAGCAGGACTGACGAATCTTTCAAGCACGAAATTTTCAGTATGGCATTGTGAATGCAAAATTAAAAAAAAATACGTTTATCATATTAAGTACTAGCTATTTTTCCGCGACTTCACCCGCGTAAGTTATAACCTATAGTATCAGCGTATGATGTAGCTTATCGTACCTGAAAGAATTTTCATGATCGGATCAGTATTTCCGAAGATTATCCCCTAGAAACAAAGTAAGAAACTTTACTCCGTTATAATATTAGTAAAGATTTCTATTACTGCAACTATTGACACACACTATTTATTTTTATGTGGTTTATTTTATTCAGTGTACAAGTACTTCAATGCTACAATATAAGACATAATATTATTTGGATTTAAATCCAAAGATTTGTTATTAGACATAGATTCATTAGACTATTTTGATTTTATATTACTAAAATGATAATTGCGTTCATTTTCAATGATAATTCATTTAAATTTCCAAAGCCGAGTGACTTGTGCGCCAGTTTTAAAATGTGATTCTTTATTTATGTAGTTATGCTCCGATGTCCCGGTTTTTTTTATTGTCTCGGCTTTGGGTGTGGTGGTATCTTCGTAATATTTATTTATTTAAAAACTGGGTAAGTTTATAATTACGTTTTGAAGTTAATAATTCCTAATTGAGGCTCAAGAAATAAACCTCGACCACTGGTGATTAATTATTCTCCAACGTTTGTTTGGGGTTACTTTCTAGAACCTTACATTAGACATACGGGTTACTATGTCAATTTTACTTTGAAGTTTGGAAGTTTTATAATTAATCTAGTTAAATAATGAATTAACTTTTAGACGTGACCGACTACAGTTTTAAAAATGTAACGTAGTTAATACAATCACATGGGTTATTTCTGTTTGAAGACTTCGTATTCTCGACCTGAGGTTTTATTTTAACTCTCGTCACGGTTTCAAAACTAAGGTCTCCATTTGCTCATGTTAACGTAATAATGGCATCCTAATTGTGTCGAGATTAAGTACATTTGGTAATATCTATTTCAGATCCAACTAATACATATTTTTTTATGATTTTTGTAAATGAAATTTCTGTCAGAGTTGGTGTCCTGAATGAGTAGTTGGGAAAAATGTTGGACAACTCAAAAGTACTTTTAAGAAGTCTATTTCAATATAGATTATTTTGAATTTGACAAACTTAGAGAAAAATGTTTTAAATAATTACCGGTCTCCGGTGCCCAAGATCTCGGTCCTATCCCAGTGTATATTAAAGCCCACTTAAAATTAAGGCCCACTTTGGGCCTTTTTAGGTAGCACTAGTAATTTATTCAAAAGGAAAACTATAAATAAATAAGCTGTGTTGATTGCAATTGAACTGTGTAGTCATGATCATACAATAAACAATTAAATGTAATAAGAATATGCAGTAATGCGTTAAAAGTAAATGTAATTAGTATATCGTCATAACAAAATCCTCTTATGGGCGGTAATAATAATCAATAGTCCTGCAATTGGCGTTCGCGTACGCTAGAATGAACAAATTGATTGGCAAACACGTGAGTACATCAGTAACGTAGCGGAAACCTTGTTACAGGATACAAAAATTAGTTAAGCGCGATATAATGAAATATTTGTATTTAGTACCCTAAAAACGAAACACCATTCAGTTCGATTCGAGCAAATACTTTTTAATATTGTTAATCTTAGTTCCCTTTATAGAGATAGAGAGTTATTTTTTAATATTAGCTCGATAGGAGTCCGATTCGAAATTAATAATTTTCGTGCTAAAGGCACATTTATTTTCGTCAAGGAATACCTATTAATTAGATACAGAAAAGAACAGTATAAGGTAAAACAACAAAGTATGAGTTTATCGTAAATTAGGGCATTAATACCTACTTGGGTGCGTCTTAATTATCTGCTGGGATTTGGAAATGAAAAACGAATTTGGTATATTATTTGGTATATAAAACCCAGAATATTGATAGCACCGTTACATTTGCTTTTACATTTTTATGTATCAATTCATCTATTTAGGATGGAAGAGATAAATTATAATTAAATCACACGAAAATTAATGTGATAACTAAGTTCTTGTACTTAATCAGTGCTCTTTCATAAGAACTTTTAACATATCATAAGAACTTTTAACGTTACATCAGAAATTCTTATGGAGTACACCATATTTTCCTGTGTGTATTTTTTTTCTCATTTTTCTTCGTTCTTGTTACGACTTCAATAGATGTCAAGGAGATTGACAGTTCAGGAAGAAGCACAGATTAGTTTCTTGACATTACCGTAGGTACCAGCTGCTTGAATCACGTCCTGTCAAATGGGAATGTCAAAGGAAATAAAACGCGATCGGTTGGTTGCACTGAATTATAATAGACCAGTGACATCAATTTCCTCTCGAGTGGAAACTACTGATTTGATGATTTTCAGTCTTTATGACTGACATTATAATTATAGAAACTGTTTAGTAATACGAAAAGTCATAAGTCATGAAAGAAGTCATGAAGATTCAAGAATCTTCCGCCCGACTTCAGTTTCATACAAACAATACTGAACGGCTCGAGGCGATACGGTGGCGATCCCTTTCCGATTTGATATGTGTGATGTGACCTTTTAATAGCATTTTATTGAATAAGTCAATTTTGAGATAAGTATTTTTAAAGTTTGAAGTCGATTCTACATTTTATTAAAATTTTCTTAAACTTTCATACTTATAAAATTTACAAGAAATCATGAAAATGAAATGAAAATGAAACGAAAATGAAATGTGAAAAATGAAAATTCAGTTTTTTATTGTTGAAGTTGTATTTGTTGTTGAAAATTACAACTAACTTTTACTGTTCATGAGAAACAGCTTGGTAACAAACATACAGATAGGCAAATAGTGAAGTTAGTAATAGGGTTCCCATCTTACACTTTAGGTACGGAACCCTAATAAGAGAAATACGAGTAGAACCTGAATGTACACTCATTTTCTCTTCATTTTTAGGAAGCAGCGAAGTAATCGTGACTATTATTATTTCTTATTATGAGCAACAAAATATTTAGTATAGCGTTTTATCATCGTGTTCGTATTTGAAATAGAAGAAATTATTACTTAATAAATATTGAGTTTCTGTAACACGAGCCTTCGTTTAACCGATACTGCTGGTTCATTATAAATGGCACAAATATACTTTAGACTCTATCTTGACTTATTAAATTAACTAAATTGGCTCAAAAGAGTGATTCCAATTCGAGGAAAACAACAGAGTGATTGAGTTACTAAAATTTAATAAAAAATGGGAAAATAAGTATTTTTAGAAGGGAAAATTTTCAGTTCGCCGTTTTAAATTAGATGTGTATATAATTTTCTTTACCAATTATAAGGGTGTGCCATTTCTATTTTATATTATGGGTTAAAGTATAAAATTGTCGATTTGTAGGTACTGAATACTAAAACCTTTTTTTAGATGTAACATATTTATCTAATAATACATAGTGTTAAACAAAGTCCCGCTCTGTGCTGAGATTTTAAATAATACAGTTTTTACACACATTAATGCGGTTTCCATCAATATGCACAGTATTTCAAGAGGAAAGTGCAATAAAGATATAGATTTTTTAAAGTTGGTTAGAAATAAACGACTGCAAACACTAATACCACGCGAACGAAGTTGCGGGTAAATGCTAGTCTGTATATATAAAAGGCAAATCTTGGCTGACTTTATTCAACGCACAGCTGAAATTACTGTATCTAGAATCTAGACATTTGGTGCAGGGGTTCCTTTCACGATATAAGTGACTACTATGAAAGAATTTTAGAAATGCAATCCCTACGGGGGAAGGCGTGGATCAGGCCGTAGCTTCGCAAATATAATTTATACTGTATAATATAAACAGATTAAGTATGTTTGTCTTCTTCGTATCTACGATTAAACTTTAAATTAAACAAAGACAGAATATGTGGGAACGACAGAATTAACGGGAAACTGGGCAGTCGATACTGTATTGCCAGCTGTCGAAAATTTCACCCATTATGATGAATAAATGAATGAACGAGTAATGTAAATATATGTATAAAATAAATTGGTAAAATACTGTAAATTTTGAAAATTTCTAATAATATATCTATTCAGAATCAAGGAAATAGTCGTTCACTGTCTTTTATCATTCCGCCTTATTATCTTTTATATCAGAAAACCTATAAATAAAGCTAATTTAAATTTTGGGTGCATAAAATGAGTCTCCAATAAAAAATAATAAATTGTAAAGCAGTTATCCACAACACATATTTAATCTAGATGACAATGCATAGTCAGCTAAGTGATATTATTTTAAATCTTATATTAGGGGCGCCGACATTGCACAGTTAGCTAAG